GGGTCAGCTGTCCTGGCTGTGCCCCCTCCCAGCTTCTTGTGCACCTCCAGCCTTCTCAGTCAGTAGAGCATGGGAAGCTGAAAAGTCCTTGACTAGTGTAAGCACTGCTTAGCAACAACTAAAACATCGGTGCGTTATCAACATTATTTTCATCCTAAATCCAAAACACAGCACTGTGCCAGCTACTAGGAAGGAAATTAACTCTGTCCCTGCCAAAACCAGGACAGTGCTGAAGGTCACTCTCAGGACGGATGGCAGAGCCCACCCCATCAGAAGACCGTGGCACCTTTCCTTCTCCTGGCTGCTGCAAGCGGGCTGGGGTCAAGGCTTGCACACAGACACGGAGGGAGAATTGCAGTACTGCTACCTTGTGCCAGGAAAACTAAGTGGCTTTCGGTCAGTTTAGGAAGAAACCAGGATGCCAGACCCAATTCAGTCATTTGCCAGTAGACACAACTCAGTGCATCAGAGAGCCTGTGTAATTGCTTATCTCCAGTTTAAACTCTGCAATATGGGCCATCCCTTTCTTTGAACTTAAATGGAAACTTAACTGATGACTCCTTGCACAAAATACATCACTGATTTGTAATGTCTACAATAGTTTATACTTACTAGTCTTTATTATTATGGCTGCAATGCAGTAAAAGTTTTTAAGCAAACCCACTTCACCAGTATTATCCCACAATATCTTCTCTCTCCCATGTACTAAAGAGAGAATAGGATTCACCCTCCCAAACTGTGAGTTACTAGCTTCTGGATGCTATATGCAGAGAAAAGCTGCGTTAAAGTGATTTTCTCACTGTCACTTTGGTCTCCATATGTTTGGAGCCATTCCCACAGGAATGGGAGTGCTTTCACCCTGTTTGGCAACAGCCTGGCAGCTCACTGCTGTGTGTTGTTGGCACGATATCAAGCAGTGCCACTTTTAATTCAAACATTTCAGGGCTGCCTATCTCAATTCTTATGATGCTAATCCAGGTTACGTGTAACTCAGAATAGTGGTGGCTTAGGTGACAAATTTCATCAGACGTCTAAGTAGAGTCCTGCCACAGTGCGACTTGCTAGACACAGCCTCTGGGACCAACGTGCCCAGTTCCTCAGATATTTAAATCAACAGATTTAGCGTCAAAGTCAGAGGTAGAGGAAGAGAAACTGACACCAATTGCCCATGCCAAAGAAATCCCATTCCTCACACACACAGATTCACACACACAAGTGCCCAAGCACTCAGAGTCAACAAACACAGGTAAAAGAAGATGACTTTATAGATGTTCCATGGTACTAAGTGGTTGCTACAGCCTCATGGCCTTTTCACTCTTCCCACCACAGTAATACACCATGCATGCTTCCCACCCCAGCTGCATTGCTTGGTCAACCTCAAGGCAGCAGGTGCCGTCTCATTCTTCTTATTGTCAGCCATACTCCAGCATTGCCCTGAGGTCAGCCCACTCCGGGCTCAGTCAAGAAGAATGGGGGAACCTGTGCATGAACCAGCACAGTATGCATGCAGCCTCACAGCTGCAAGTGCCCTCCTAAACAGTGTTTCACTAGGACTTGCAGAATGGGTAACAGCAGTCATTGTGGCTTATATCTGGATAGGAACCTCTCAGGAGACACAACCGGGCGTGGAAATCTTGGCAGTGGTCCCATCATATAATAGGCCACACACCACCTTCGTTATGCTGTCAGTGCAGACTATTGTGGAGAGATTAGCCTGTCCATGGCTGCGCATAGCTTGAGAGAGATGATGTCTGCAGGGAGTTTGCCAATCCCAAACCTCATCAACCAGTTAGAGGTGAAGGAGAGGAGGAACATATTGTATTCCACTGTCAGTATGAGCTCTCAGACAGTGTTATGCTGGTGTTGCATGGCAGATGTGTACCTACTGGTGTTCATCTCAAATGTGTGGCCCTATCTGATCCCACCAGTGAATGTTGGCACCCCAAATCGAAACTCTCCTCTTGACCATGGTGTGCTGGTTTTGGCTGGGCTAGAGTTAATTTTCTTCATAGTAGCTAGTATGGGGCTATGTTTTGGATTTGTGCTGAAAACAGTGTTGATAACACAGGGATGTTTTGGTTATTGCTGAGCAGCGCTTACGCAGAGTCAAGGCCTTTTCTGCTCCTCACACCACCCCACCAGCGAGTAGGCTGGGGGTGCACAAGAAGTTGGGAGGGGACACAGCTGGGACAGCTGACCCCAACTGACCAAAGGGATATTCCATACCATATGACGTCATGCTCAGCATATAAAGCTGGGGGAAGAAGGAGAGAGGGGGTCACGTTCAGAGTGATGGCGTTTGTCTTCCCAAGTCACCGTTACGCGTGATGGAGCCCTGCTTTCCTGGAGATGGCTGAACACCTGCCTGCCCATGGGAAGTAGGGAATGAATTCCTTGTTTTGCTTTGCTTGTGTGTGTGGCTTTTGCTTTGCCTATTAAACTGTCTTTATCTCAACCCATGCGTTTTCTCACTTTTACCTGTCTGATTCTCTCCCCCATCTCACTTGGGGGAGGAGTGAGTGAGCAGTTGGGTGGTGCTTAGTTGCTGGCTGGGGTTAAACCACGACACATGGGTAGACTGACAAGGGCAGAGGCAAAAGTAGCCTCCCAAACCAATACTATAAACTTGGACAGGTTGTCCATGTGCCTACCATTAGCCTTACCACTAAGCAGGCTTAGAGGTGCTTCGGATACATATTAAGTTTGGCGTTATTGCAGTGTGAGTGTCACCAGTCCACTTCTAGAAAAGCCAGCTTGCAGCAGGCTCTTCCCTTAACTTGTAAGCTACTCTGTGCCATTTGCTTTGGGGTGTATGACTTGACTGGTGTAGACATAGCCTAGGATTGCCCTGTGTATGGCTAGACACTACTCCTTGCATAAGTGAGAGCAGTCTTAAGTAGAAATCGCCAGCTCATTTTTGTTCAGACATCTTTTACAATGTACAAAGAGATGCTGCAAGAATGATATATGCAACTTATTCATATGAAACAATTATGCCTTGGCTAATGCACATGCTGGATAGCCACTATTAACGTGCTCACCAACCCCAGTAAGACAGCCAGTGAGCCTGTGCAGGACAGGCAAGCATCGGTCAGGTGGGGAAGGACTGGGCTTCTTGATCCTCATAACAGGCTGATCCTCAGTGTTGCTGAGTTGCCACTTTCTGATTTTCTGGTTTTAAGGATTTTTTACACCTTAAGGTATAGATTTTTTCCTTTTGTATGCTGGCCAAAGGGCTATGAATATTGCATGGCAGGGAAAAATCACTGCGTGCTGATTGCTGTGGGTGCCGACACAAACGTGTATAATTCCTGGAGTATTTCACAAAACATAAGTGTCTGTGTAGTGGCAAAATGTGGCCAAGGTTAAGAGCGTGGGAGCATTCCTTTCCCAATGATGCTGGCATTCGTTCTCAGCTACTTGAAATACGTGGAGCTAGATTTACAGGAGTAAAAATAAGAATCACAGCAACCACTTTGCAACAAAAATATGGCTTTATTTAATTTCAGCATTTATATTATTTCTAAAGAAAATATGCTGTGTTATTTTGGGCATCTCTTAAACCAGCAAGCACTTCAAGAAATCATATTTCAATATGGCACATTAATGTGTGTATCTCTGGGGTTAATTATGCTAGTACATAAGATTATCTCTTGAAAGAACATTGATTGTTATTACTGCTTTGCAATTAGCATATTGGAAGCAATTTATTTTTTTAAATGGTGCTTTAACATTTGTGCTGTGGATTCCTTCTTAGTATAGAAACAGGCCTCAAAATACTCTACGGTTTTAGCTCTTGATCCTAATTCGGGGCTGCAAAAGAAGAGTTTTTGCATGAACACGAGTAGTCAAAAATACAGATCAGTAAACTGTATAACATGCACTCAGGTCACTCAGTTTTCCTAATTTATACGATCTGGTGATTTGACTAACAAATGTAACTCATAGTTTCACAGAAAAAAAAGGCATGCAGAAATATCCAGCCACCTCCTTTGTGCTATAGCTGTGGGAGAAGATGACAGCTGGCAGACCAAACCTACCTTGTGAGATGCTTGCCTGTCTTTGCAGCAGCCTGAGGTAAACTGAGTACTTAAATTTCCACATAGCTGCAACCGTCCAAATTCTAAACTAAATCTCTCTTCCTGAAATTTAGGCCCATTTCTTTCTCTCCTACTCTCAGGAAGGATAGAGAAGTCACTAATATGCCTTTATAACAGCCCATTATGAAGAGATATAAACTGCTGTGCCTCTGTTTTCTCATTTATTTTTTTTCTGTGTGAAGACACTGAAACCATTACATCTTTTCTAAAGTTCCCATTTGTTTTCCACATTCCATGCAACTGATTCTTCACTAACACTGAACAGAGATGAGTAATTACCTCCATTATATTATAAGCACTCCCTTCAACATCTCCCCTGAGTGGCGTTTTTCTTAAGAGCATCACCTCTTCAACTCAGGTTCAGTTTGTGGTCCCCTGTAATCCTCAGGTTCTCTCCTGCAGTATTATTGTCATTCCTTTTCTGTCTGTGACAGAATGTATTTGTCTTCAAAGAATTTTATCATATTGATTTCAAGCCATTCCTCTAATGTAAGCGACATTTTTTGAATTCTAATCCTGCCTCCCAAGCTGCTTGCAAGTCCTCCCAAATGGGCACTATCTGTAAATTTGGTAAGCTTATTGTCCATGTGATTGAGCAAGTAATTAATGGCAATGTTTCATAGTGCTAGAGCTAGAAAACCGCATTATGGAAGCCTGTGTGAGATGTTCTCCTACTTTGGCAGCAAATGATTGTCCTCAGAGTCCAGCTTTCCAATCAGTTGCATATCTACCTTATGTGAATTTAATTTAGTCCTTATCTGCTTTGCTTGCTTATGAATGTCATGTGGGACTGTGTCGAAGATATGCTGTATCAAATACAACCCCTATATCTGTTTTGCTGTCAAAGAAGGAAATGAGATCAACTTGATAGGATTTGTTTCTGACGTGTCCCTGTGCAAGTCCTCTTATCTCCTTACTATTCTTTCGATGCCTACAAATGGGTTGTTTAATACTTTGTTCCAGTGTCTTGGAAATGCTATTAGGGCTGGCTTTTCTGTAATTCTTTAGATTTTCCTTTCCTCCTTTGTTAGATATGACATTGTGTTTGCCTTTCTCCATTTTTCTGGGAACTTGCTCATCCTGCTAATCACTAGTGTTTGAGAAATTGCTCTGGTTAAGTATTTTAAGGGTAAGTTTCATTAGGCTGTGCCATCCTGAATACTCCAATTTACCTCAGTATTCCTTCAGATGTTCTTTTCCTATTCTCTCCATGATCCTACTCCCAAATTCTTAATAACAACTGAAATAAAATTTTAGTAAAAATTAACATTTTTTGTGAAGACTGAAACAAAAAAAAAGGCATTGAACATTTCAGCCTTTTCTATATCACCTATTTGCTGCCCTCCCTTGTTAAGTACTACATTGTATCTGCTCTCAAGCATAGTGCATTTTTTGTGATACAGTATTATTTAACTCTAGCAAACCATTCATTTTAATGGCACTATGTGGTTATGCACTCAAATATAAAATAATATTGATCTTATTTCGATGACATTACCTCACAATCTAATTCCAGACCATACCTCAATTTCTTCCAACGGTTTGATTGCATCCCACTTAAAATTAATTCAGTTGTGACTTTATTCTGTGATGCTAGGAAGTGAAATTATTCTGTATTGGTAATTACTAATAGAAGATCATTCACCAAACATAGCCAGCTTATTATTCAAACACTAAATTGCATAGCTAAATCATCCTATCATCTTTTTAAACAAAACCATAAAAATTTGTTAAAGTGACACTAGAGAAATAGTTACATATTCAAAGTGTGACTGTAATCAAGTCAGAAAAATAGTAATACTCACCACCATAGCTAAACAGAACTTCTTTCATTGGCAACCTGTAGAAAAAAAGGGAAATAAAAGGTGAAAACAAAGTGGAAAGGGGAATAAAAACTGCTTATGTTAAGCAGGCACAGTTCTACAAACTGGTGGGCAACTTCATACAGCACCTTGTCTTTTAAAAACATTGGTTTCCTGCACTGCTAATTTATAACTATGCTTACTGAGCTTGGGATGATTTTTCATGCATTGACGTGTTTGAGGAAGTATACTGCACATAGCACATTTCAACAGACAAAGCATCGCCTTGGCTAAATGCACGTTAGAGGACATTTCAGACTCATGTTGAGTTTCCACTTCTTTTTTGGACCACATCCTGGGAGGACAGAGCATGTGGCTAACCTTGCATTCACATGGCATGGATGTTGTTTTCCTCCACCTTTGCAAGACTTTTGTCACAGTCTCCTACAGTAACCTGGTACTCAAACCAAGGAACAGGGTGGACTATAGAGTGGATGAATAACTGGCTGGACCACTGGTCTGAAAAGGTAGCAGTCGACAGTTCAAAGTCTCTGTTCCAGGTGGCATTTCAGAGGATGCTAAGGTGAATGCTGTTTGACATCTCCATCAGGGACCTGGGTGGTAGGAGAGCCTACATGTCCAGGAAGTCTGTGGATGTTACTAACTTGGAGGGGAGGTAGAGACTGATATGCTGAGGGTACAGCTGCCATTCTGAAGGACTTTGCCAGACTGGACAAATGGGCTAGCAGGAGCTTTATGAACAAAGGCAAATACAAAATCCTGCATCTGGCGGGGGACAAGGGGAGCGGAGGAAGTGAACAACCCCATGAAACTGCACAGGCCAGTGACCGACTGACTGGGTAGCAGCTCTGCAGAGAAGGACCTGAGGTCTGGTAGACACCAGACTGAACGTGGGTCAGTCCACCTTTGTTGTGATGAAGGATAACCTCATATACGGTTGCATTAATTAGAGCACAGCCAGCAGGTTGAGGGAAGTTATTATTCCCCTCTGCTGGGCATTAGTGAGGCTGCATCTGGAATGTAGTTTCCATTTTTGTGCCCTCCCGATAGAAAAGAGTTGCCAAGCAACCAGAAGAAACCTAATGGAGGACCATCAGGGTGGTTGCAGGGGTTCCTTGATTTCTGGGAAAGGCATATGACATATAAGGGGAGGCTACAGGGCATGTTTAACCTGAAGAGTAGGCTAAGGGGGTATCTATTTTCCCTCTCCAGCTATTTAAGCGGGGTTTATACAGAGCTCAGATTTGCATGGTGAAAGGAAAGGAGGCAACAAGTGGCAAAATTTTAACTACCCATAAGGAAAAATATTTTTATCGTAAGAACGGTCAAACACTATAACTATTTTTTCTCTGATTCTGTGATTCTAATTACTTATGCATTATTTAAGTATTGAATAATAAAAAAACCTTCTTCAACCTACAACTGTGTTCTGACTACCTATTCAGGGCAAGCTCTTTTCCTCTAAAACTATTATACAAAACTCCTGCCATTTTTTAAAGGGGACAAAATACCATAGCTGTTTCTTAAAGCCAAATAGAATTAGATTACAATAGCAGTTTAAATGACATACTGACATTTCATACTTTCTCTGTGTCACATTTATATTACTACCCTTTCAGTCTTTTTTATGTAAATTTACCATATAAGTAATACATTTACAGTAATTCTTTTTATAGCAATCACGTTAGAAATAAAATCCTGTAAATAAATAAAATGCTTTTTCCTTATTAATGCATGGTGATCTCATATGCCTTTTCATGTCAGTAGGCTATAACTGAAACTTTTTACTTAAAACAAGGAGATGCCATTGAAGCTGGCAAAAAGTATTGCCCAAATACCTGTTGCAAGTATAAATTTCCTATTGTACATATAAAGTATTAAAAATTATAAAGTTTAAAGCATTGTTAAAGTACAAAGTAAATAGAAAGTATGACTGCTGACATTTAAAGGTTTTATTTGAGAATTTACAAATGTGCATTGTTTGGACCTACCTTTCTATTTATAAATATCAGAAGACTGTAGTTTACTGTTCCCTTTTAGTGGCACATCCACTTAAGAGGTTGAATAATTTGTCACAGCTAACACCTGAAATTCTTATTCGTTTAGTAAAAGCAGTAGTTATTCCTACTTTTAATGCTCATTTGCAGAGTCATTAAATTTTCAGTTAAATGGAGAGAGCCTACTGCTACAGTCCTTGGCTTGGTCAAAATAAACCATGAGTGGTAAGACTATCATTTCAGAAAGGTACTGTTCATTTAGTTCCAAAATATTTTGGGAGATAGGTCAAGTCAGAACAGTTCTCATTTGGGAGGCAAGTGACATCAAAGGATTTTCTAATTTGCACCATCCAAGAGCTTTTGCTGTTGCTCTTTGCCTTATTTGCTGCCTTAATGTCTATGCTTAGTATCAGTCTGTGCAGTGTTCTTTACGAATTGCCTAATGCCCCCTAGTTCATTAGATAATTCATAAACTTTGCAAATCAGCAGTGCTGCAAAGACCACTCTGACCCTGCATCCCAGGTGTGGGGACTGAAGAGATGCTGACTGTGTTGCAGTGTACCACACGCGTGCTCTGTGACCTGGCTAGCTACAGAGCTGGCAGCGATGCTCTACCATACTAGTGTATACCAGCTCTCCACTGTCTGGAGGACGGGGCTGTAATTTTATGCAAGATTGAAAGTAAAAAGTGAATAGCGTGTCCTTGTGGCTCCAAGGAAAGTACAAGGAGCGACACAGTCTTTTGCCCTAATATGTCTGCATGCAGGGAAGGACCTGTCCCAGCACCAAATGGAAGGCAAAGGTGCTTGAACAAAGGAGTTGACATTTGAGTAGGAGCAGCTGCCGATTCAGTTCCCTCTAGTTTCATCTGGTATCTACCATACCCCTGTTCTTGCTTTGACAGGGATCTTCTTTACCATTTGAAAAGGTATTGAACGGTACGTGGGAGCTGGATCATTACAGGATACCTAACTATCACCAGCAGCCTCCCCTAGTCTGTCAGGGTAAGCTGGAGGGGAGGGCAGCCTGTACCCTGCCCTTGTACCTTCCCACCAGAGGCAGGGAAGGACAGGCCTCCGCTATGGGTACAGCCCATTCTCATCCATCCCCGCTTCATAGTGACCATGATGTCAAGCAACTTTGTGGGGGGACTTTGTAAGCCCTGGGATTTTCTTTGTAAATCCAGGGTACAATGCCAGTATTTTTAACTGGAAGAACATCACTCTGCTCTGATACTGACATTTGGGTTGGAGCTTTGGTCTAACGTAAAACCCCTTACATAAATTCTTTAGTACAAGGACTCTTTCATAAAATGGGTGCATTTTCTTCTTATATGTAGAATCTATCAATGATTAATACTCACGTTGACCTCTGACCAGGAACACTCCTTAAGTAAATAAAGATTAAGAGCAATGTATAACAGAACTTTGGACCTTATTGACATTTTCATAGAATTTAAAATTTCAAGAACTTTTTCTATTAAAGTTCTTTAAAGTGGATCAGGGCAGATTGTTTTCCCTAGTAGAAAAAAAAGAGCTTCTTGTACTAAAATTCTCAAAAATTTGCACAAAAGACAGTCAGTGAAATCCTGTTACCACTGAAGTCAATGGAATCAGCTTTTTCTCATGAGGTCTTTTTATGAGTGTTGACCTTACAGATGCTATTATTATCTCAAATAATTATTGCAGATCTTTCAGGAATAACAAACAGATAAGACAGAGTAACAGCTGCAGCAAAAGATTGTATGAACCTAAAGTAATTGTATAATAGACTTGGGATTTTGCAAGTCATATATGAGTAAGGGTAATGAGTACATACTTTTAGCACCTGCATGCAATGTTTTTTTGTGACATATGTCACATGTTGTCTCTAAATATTCTGACTCAGTACAATTCTGAGAATGATTATAACGTCATTCACACACCATAATCTGGGCAAACACTAGGTTTACTTTAAAGGAAGACAGTAAGTATTGGAAATAACTGATATATCTGTTGGTTAGGTTTTACAGGAGTATCCTTCAGATTTCTCCAACTAAAAAGCACTGGTTGTAGAGAGAGGTTTCACAAGGAGGAGAATGTCCCTTATTTGTTTTCCTGCTTTCACAAGGAAGTGGCAGATCTGATTTGCTTCATGCTGTTACAGAATGAAGCTAAAGCTGCATGAAGAATAGAATGCTGTTCTTCTGAATACAAAGGTAATGCCTTTTTTTCCCCCCCATTAAATGCTTCACTTTGAGGAAAACAATATGAATCACTAAGTAGAAACTAGCAACACCTTTCCTTCTTCCCCTCTCTCACTCCTTCGTAAAGGTCAAGGAGGTGCTTATGATTCACAGAGCATCTGCCCACCCATTCTTTTTTGGAATTGCATAAATCACACTGGCTTTCTCTCACTGTGTTTTTAGCTCTGAGGGAGGAACATTGCAAGAGAAGAAATTAAGTATGAGCCTATACATAATTTTAGATAAAGAAGAGCATTTTGGTGCGGGCAGAGACTATAGGTCAGAGATCTAAGGTTCTTACTACAGCAGTAAGAGTAATGTTGGACTTATAACTTGACAGAATTTTTCCTAATCAGTTCAGCATCCAAACAGGACATTTCAAATTATGTGGAGACTTGTGGATTATGTAAATTCATAAAGTGTAAATTCAGCATAAACAGTTCCTAGAGTCAAGATAGGTTCCTAAATAAGAAGGAACAATACAGGTGCCTGAAAGATGTTGTGATTTTAAAAGTCATCAACCAAGGCCTACCTTGTTTTCTTCACTGCACTGAAAAGGGAAAGCAGCATAACACACAATTTTGCAGAACCAACCATATAGAAGAGAAAATGGTGAAAATTTGGTGGTTCTTCAGAGACAGCTCAACAACAACATATCTCAAAGAAGCCACCACCCTCAGGGCAGCTAAGAAGAGTGCCCCAAATGCTTTGATCTGCTCCTGGCTCTATGTTGTTCTCCTGTTTGTCTCCAAGATAGCATAAATGTTGATCTCTTCCTGGATATCAGTGCTGTATAGTTCTGTCTCCAGCAATAGATCTCAAGAGAAATGGATGCCTTTGTTCAGTCCTTCCTGACTGAGAATTAGCAAAGGGGTTCATCTCTAGATGTATTTGTGTCTTCTCTGGCACTCCCTAAACATGGAAAGACATTGCTCAGTCTCAACATGGTCAGCATGGTGTCTAATGTCTAAAAATGAGATTAAAAATTGGGGAAAAAAATTAGATAATATGCCCTGTACAAGTACTTTGAAAAGTCCATTGAAGAAGACTTCCTTTGATTTGTAATAGAGAGAACAGAAAATGTGTCATCTTTTGATGTTATTTCCTGACCAGTTTGTGGTGAGCCTGACACAGTTCTTCCCGCTGTGTCTACATGTGGACTGGAGTCCACCTGTATAGTCATAGTCAGTTATGTGACAGGCCCCAGGGAACCAGCACAAACACTCAGCTTGCTCAGCTATACTAAATGGTATCTGACACTTTTTTTTTTTTTTTTTTTTTTATTTTAAAGCTAACTATTTGCCTCCAGCTAACATTATTTTAAGTGGTGAATGACCATCACCCAATAAGATGTTAATCGAGGGATATACAAAGAGTACTGGTAACCGCCCAGATAAATCCTCTTCTTTCCAATTGATAAATTGGTCTTTGCTCTTTATAAATGCAATCACAATTTCGTCAGAGATCTTTATTCTACAGGTCACAGTACAAATGTTCCAACTGTTGGAGTACATTTAAGCTTTTTAATAAATTGGTTGATAGAAATTATGTTAAACTATTTGTTTAAAATAGAAGGGAACTTTTACAACACAGTGCTATATATTTTATCTGCCTTGAAACAGACCATAGTTGGCCTCTAACCAAAGGAATTTTGCACTTTTGTTGTCATTATCATCAATTCGGAACATGCTACAACCTCATGTTTTCAAGGATATCTCGGTCATGGTAGTCTGACTTTACTATGTCAGTACAAGATGCTTCACTTTCTGCACTAATCTTAATAACGCATCAGTTAAATTATGTGTCTTGTTTCTTAAAAACAAGGTCTTTGAAAAGATTTCTCTTTCCACTTGATCTGCAAAGCTGTCCCTCAACATGTAAATTGTAAAGAAAAAGGATGGGAGATGGGGATCTAGCTGTTTGCTTTTCCCCTATCTTATTTTTGAATACAGGAAAATCAGCTGCATCATTGGAGGCTGGATATATATATACACACACGCACACATATATGTATATATATACACATATGTACATATATGTGTATATATATACACATTTTAGAGTGCCTGATGTAGTGCAAATCTGTTTCATCTCAACAACAAATTTATCCTCAGAACTATTGAATCCCTCTCACCACCCTCTAATGAAATACCTTTACTTCAATAATATTTCAGCAACTTTACAGGTGAGATGGAAAAAAACAACCTATCTGAGAAGCTCAGCAAGGTATTTGTTGTCTAACTTCATTTTGTGAAGGCATCTTGGGGCTTCCTTTGGAAAGATCCATAGCAGAAACCATAAGAACTGCTTTCAAGAGAACCAAGAAGTGGCTCCTGGGAGGCAGAGGAAAGGGGATTGATGGTGTAGAAACAAGCAGAAAGGTCAAAGGCAAGGAAAAAGGGAGGAGGCTGCAAGGCCGTGATGAAGATTCAAACAAAAAGAAATATGAAGTAGCTCTAAGTCCCTGACCCCGTGCACAGAGAAGCTGGGAATGTGCATGAGGATAAGAGGCTATGTTCATATCTCATATACTCCTGGTGCAGAACAGCAGTCTGTTGATCCACCCAACAAGTGAAATGTCTACCTTTTCTTTTTTCTTTCTTTTACTTTTTTTTAAACCATTTTTTTCAGTGGAAACCAAGATAAACTGTAAGGATATATTGGCAGGCTCTGTCAACAAACTCAGAATTCAGGCAAACCCTCTGCTCCCAGCATGTGAAGGGCTTGACTTCAAAACTCCTTCAATATTTTTCAAAACAAGAAAGTTACTCATTTGGTAGCAATTATTGGCAAACATCCATTTCATTTATTTAAATGCTCATTTTGCTGCTTTTAGCATGACTAGAATCTAATTTTAAAATAAAACATTAAAAATAAACTGTATTATGAAAATGTAATTATCTTTCCTATCTATATTGTTAAACTCATCAAAAAACTTGTGAAATAATTATGAGCATGCACCTATTAACCAAGAAGGGCTTGGTAGTAAAAATTCATTCTTGTGTCATAAATGTACTCATACTGCTATTATTGGTAGTAGGTTATGCTGCCTTATGTGAATTTCTAAAATAATGTTGAAAATGTCCTTTAATTAAAGATGTTCTACTACATTCCCAAGCCTGCAGTAAAGAATATGATAGTTAATTAAATTCCATACATTTATTTCAACATTCAGCTTCATGTTCATGACCTTGTCAGAAAAAAGACTTGCCTGTGCCAGAAGAACCTTTTTAATTTTTATATGCTCTGTCTCAAGAGAAAATTGACTATGTGTAACAGATCACTTCGGCTCTCACTGAGTGAATTATCTAGGGTGGTAACCACTATGGTCCTAGAGTTTGGATATGTAAAAGTAGTAGGGAATTGGCCACTGAATTTAGACTTCAAGAAGATTTGTGTCCTTCTCAAAGTCAAATAAAACTGGCACTGAATTTTAGTACTGGGCAAATTTGCACTGTGTGTTGTCTTATGTTTTCTTGACAGTCCTTTACGAAATTCTCATTAACTAATTATCCTAAGTGCTTCTGGTAGTTGTAGCCAGTATTTAAAACAGAAGATATACCAGTGACTGCAAATTGTGGAATGTATGATTTAAATGGGGTTAAGTACATAATTTAACAAATCCCACTTGCTAACATCCCAACAGCACATATCAGGAACCTGAAGTGTAAATGTTAGTGTTACTCCAAATTCACGTAAGCAGCACAGTCTGCAAAACAACTCTGGTTTTTTTCGTCATTAGTCATTAAGAATAATTAATGCTTATCTAGTCTGTGCACTGGACAAAAGCAGATTTGGGAGCTCAGCACATTTTTGCTCATAAACTCTACACAAGCTACATAAATAAAAGATAACGTTAGCATGCAAATACTTAAACCCATTAAATGTCAACAGATTACCTCCTTAGAGCTGAGTGTTTCATTTTCTGGAATAGGCACAATGGGATGACTGGGCTGCCAAGCCAAGATGTCACAGGTTGGAGAGAGCATGAGGTTAAAAACAGGAAAAAGAAATCCATTATCAGTTCAATTTCTGTATAAAATATCACTAAAGTTTAATAATGAAAGCCAATACCCTCAGTCATGCAAAGGATGGCAAGGTAATGACATCCCATTTTTGTTCAACAGGCTCCCTGTTGAACAGGCTCTCACTTACTACTCCTTGTCTGTATGAAAATCTAGGTCAAGGTATGGCCTGTTTTCTGTTATATCATATTCCCATAATTAAAAGGATGGGAAGGGATAAATCACTTTCCAATTTGAAAGAGGCACCTCAAGTAAAAATCAAAGCAAGGGCACCTGCCTTATAATACATTTAGTATGAGATAATGCACATAAAGTTATTTAAAACTGCAGCTGTATTTCTGTCACTTTGAAGATCTGCCTTCTTAAATCTCCTCCAAAAGAGCTCTCCTTAATCTTAAATTTCATAGACATAAATCATACAAACATTTAACTAAAAAATGCTGTGTAACAGTAATTAGTATGTGCAGAAAGGAGTTTTAGATCTCAGTAATTTTCCAGTGTTTTGAGTATTATATGATTTGCATCTGAGTAATGAAGTTTGATGGGTGTGACTCAAGTGAAGAACCATATCAATTTCAATAAGATTTTAATTAGAATACAGGTAGATAGATAAGCTGGAGCTTATAAAGGCAATGTTAAGATCATAAGCTTGTGAGGTTTTCCTATACAGTAACACAGAGACATCCTCTTTAGAGCAAAGGCTGCTGAAAGGGGTTTGAGTATTTTAGGATTGTACAAAAACAAGGTTGGAAGAAGCCTGCTATTTTCAATGTATCAAAGGCATTACTTTCTTTTGGTATTTAGATCAAATAGTAAATTAGCAAATAATGTGTTGCTTAAAAAAATATTGCTCTTGCCCTAAAAAAATTAATTTTGAAACTGTGCTTTTTGAGAAGCAAAACTGACCTGCTAAACTGGCCCTACAAAGAAAGAAGGATACTGAAGTGGAATATACTCTAATTTTCTGTAATTACATTATGGATCTGCTATGTATTGTGCTCTCCCTTTGTAAATTTGCCCTGATTCATTTTCAGGGAAGCAGGAGTCAAACAACAGCAGCAGTTACAGAAGCTTTGAACCATTTAACTTCCGCTCCCCCCCACCCTCCCCAAAATATGAAAAGGCAAGTGAATAAATTTAGGCAATAAGTTTATTTAATTTATTTCTTCAGTAAATTTAGACAAGGGAATAATTTTAGGCAAAGGAATGGTAAGGAAGGGGTAAGGAGCCTAGATCCTCCCAGTAGCAACATCCCTCCCTCTGCCACACACCTGGCTCCCGACTTCAGCCAACACAGATGCCGAAGCAGCCCCCAGACCTTACACCACCCCGCTGCTGCAGCACAGCTCTTCGCAACAGACATAGGAGGTGTTTAACAGCCTACGTGGGAGACCGAAGTCCCATTTCCAAACCCAGCATCCTGCACCTACCGAGGGTGGGCAATCCTTGGTGATGCACAGGTACAAAGTTCTAGCAACACCTGGCAAGCTTATTTCATTGAAATAAACCCTAGAGTTGAGGTACCTATTGCCTCTCCAGAATATGGCATCTCTGTATTCCAGGCAAAGTAAGAAGGGTCAGTCACAAAGAGAAGAGGGAAAGTATTGATCATTTTCTGTTTAGTTTCTGATGTGTGGCTAAGCTCTCTGAGAAGAACTGTCCACTGCTTGCAAGAAAGAAAAGCTCTCTAGTCAGGTAGTGATCCGAGAATGAAACAGCTCTTTTTCTCAAGTTGCATAGAGAGCCAGTCAATGAAAAATGCACTTTTATTGTGTTATCTCACCCTGGTCTTTCTTGCTGGTATTCATTGCCTACCGTGTTAACCTGAAATGCCTTTCTGAGTCATGATTCTGCCTTACCTTGTTCCTTGAGTATGAGGTCTCAAGTCCCTCCTTAGACCTGACAAAAGTAATGATCTTTTTTTGTCCAAGAAATATATTTGCTTCCTTTATTTTGATAACATCCTCTTTTCAAACTAAAAAGCCAACGTGTATAACAGTTTCCTTAGAGAGGGAAAATTTTCTGTATTTTCTGGACAGACACTCAACATTGATTATTTTGGAGAGGCTTAACTGAAAGAAGACAAGTGAGAGGCAAACAAGGACTTCACTGATTAATAATGGGGGAAAAAAGTTAATACAGGCTTAAGACTTGGAGAAAAACTGAACAATATACAGTTCTCTCTGTTTTCACAAGGCTTCTCTGACATAAAACCCCTGAAGTTATAGTAGAAGAGTCTATACATTCTACTAGTCAGGTGTCTAGAGACCTGATTTTGCATTAACATGGGGTCTAGTCTTAAGGAAGTCACATATGGCTACATTTGTAAAGAACTTTAAGTAGTACTTTAGCGAATATGGAGCACATAAGCCAAGTGCTGCATCCTTTCTACTGAAATAATGCTTAGTCTTGTAGGTCCCTGAAAGGAGGGCGTTGGGTTTTTCCCTGGAATCATACAGCTCTGCCTCTGCCAGCTGCAAAGGAACTGAGTGCCTTGGCCTGAGTGACTTCATCCTAACGAGCTGGAGGCCTGTTCCCTGTGTTATTTCCATCAAGTGTCAATGTAATCTGAAATGTGTCAGCCTTGCTGTGGAAAAGGTCCTGTGCCTGTCCTCCCAGAGTTCAACCAAGAGGCTACAGAATCTTATTCTTTCCTCCCTGATTTTTCCTTACAAATATGATTTTTGTGTTCTTGAATGCACACCACGCCAGTCCCACAAGCAGGATGGAACTTGCTGTCCCAGTGCACTTGCTTTCTGCAGCTCCGTGGGTAAGGATCGGACTTTTTTGGAAGAGAGAGCAGTTTGAATATCTGCAGGGTGAGATGAGCACTGTAATCAGGTCTCTCACTGTCTGGGCAAGTACTAAAGGAGGCCATTGGCATCTCCATGTTGTCTTCTCTGCATGGTGGTCAGCACAGGGTATTCGGAAGACACTTAACAGGACAGATAGCCTACCTGATTAAACTCAGCCTTGTACCTGAATCATGGTACAACTTACAGCCCTAAGCACAGAGTAAAGATCCTCACAGAGTATGGTCATCTCTCTGCAAAGATGAGCTATCAACATCAGAGTACCAGACAGTCAGCTTAAAAGTACCAGAATGCAAAGTAGGCAGAATGAGGCGGGATTAACCCTTCTTTAATAGACATTGTGTGACTATCATCCCTCAGAGTCATATAGGAATGTGCACATGTCCACAAGATCTGAAGTGTGAATGCAACTTGGACTATGTACTTTTTATGGGTGTGTTGTCTTAGTGAGACCTCATCAAGCTCTGTCACTGGCAGTCTTTCATCTCCAGGTCAAAGTAGCTGGCAAGAAGCCCTATTTTCTTCTACAAATGTCAAAGGATTGCATCTGTTGATGGTGGAAGATGATAATATTGCTTTTATAATTTCTATCCTTGTTTCCTTTGCCAGTTACAAAATTCTGCATTACTCTGACAAGGTTAATTAATAATTCTTAACTTTTCCAGACGTCACTCAGTCTTCTGGTAATGTGACGTTTTCTTTATTATTTCTAAGAACAGTAAAAGAACAAACTAGACAAATCTGCATTTGTGGCTGCAAAAATTGTACTGAGGAGAGCAGAATATCCTGACGATATATTTAAGTATTTGCAGCATGTAAGTTCAAAGGGAAATTATATACCTGGCCATAACCTCTTACAGACTCAGTCAAGGCTTAGAAAAGTGGTGGTTATATAACATCTTAGTTAGACCTTTGTTCATTTAGCTCTGTAGAGCAATCAGCAAGACATATTTGCCTTTAAAAGGTCAGTTTATCTTTATTGTGCTGTGAATCACAGCTGCCTCTGAACCAATATAAAGTTTTCTGAGGTGTTCTCAATGTAAGACCTTTTTCATAAATCCAAGTCACTCTCTAGAGGTTCTGCAACCTTTGCTAATTGAGACACAGGTTTAAAACTTTTTGGAACCAGTGACAGATAATGTACATAAGGAATAAGAATGTTTCAACTATAGTAACAAGAGAACATTCACATATACACTGTTCTTTCAAACTACTCCATTAAGTCTTTAATCCACTTTGAAAATAAATTAGGTACTCTAGGCTCTTATGAAACATAGAGTCATTCCTTCACAATAGGAAAAATTACTAATTTCTCAAAGACTAAAAATGTTTATTTATACATGCATAACAAGCAAACTTTTTTTATAAAACAATTTTATAGATAACCACTTTTTCTGAGTACAAGAACATGAAATCTAGGGTACCAATAAATGGTAAAACACCCACAGCAGCAGAGCAAGAAGTGCCTTCAACTAAGGGGAGAGAAAATACACAGTGTAAAGGGACAATTTATAGTTATGATATCTATAGTCTCTCTGAAATGACACAGCATAAAATCCATTTCAAAGATTCAGTCAGTTAAGGACCCAATTCTTTTGCACCTTTCACCGCTCTATAAAAGGAAATGTCAAGTAGAAATGGTGATCACAACTAAGATTTATAATGTGCCTTCAGCTACATATGCAATAGAACATCCTGACTGACTTGCAAATCATTATTATACACTATTGTACCTGTGCATTTTTAACTTGAAGATTTCAAAACTCTCTCCAGATACCGATAAGTACCTGCACAAGAGGGACAACTCACACGCAAACATGGTTCCCTGCCAGGTTCTCACAGGATGTAGCCCTGGAGGGCACCAGAGTGGGGTGAGACTGAAAGATTTGTATCTGAATACCAGAGGCTGGAGGAGTTACAGGGCTTTGCAGTAGGGATTCCTTATCTCTAAGTGGAGCTGGAGGGAAGGAGATGCACGCAAGCCCAGCAGTGCATTGATTTTCCTTGGGCTGCCTTTTCCCAGGCCAAGTTCAACTGCTCATGCAGGGCTAGTCTACGATGGAATTGGCTGGGGATTTTCTGCCAAAATGATTTTTCAATGAAAAATAGTAGAAA